TTTTGAACGAATTACAAAATTGTTATTTTGAAATTTGGCCGCATGGCGCAGCAATAGGAGGTCTTTAGACCGAGCCAGCCATATTTGTTAGATCAAAGTTAGTGATTTTATTTTGTTAATAACCAAATTAATTCATCAAATATTAAAAATTTACAAAATGCTCTACCTACATTGTGTGTATCCAACAAGTTCAACTTCTAAAACATATTCAATCTATTTTAATGCATTATCATACCCTCCGAACTTTTTATGCTTTTGCAGGATAAAATTTGATAATTATATTGGCAAGCAATAGGCTCTTTCTAAAATGTGCCAATAGATCATTGGTAAACTACAAGACTGGTATTATTCTGATAGCCTATGGAGCTTATGTATTCTCTCTCTTCTTCTCCTGGTTATGCTTCAGGACCAAAAAAACAGTTATAACAGTAATTGAAAAGGAGATGCACCACTCGATTGGTAAATGAATTTAAAACAAGTCGGGTGTGCTAAATGATTTCTACATCTGTTTTTAATCCTTTGTTATGCAAAATACGTCATACTCACCTTTATATCCATAGATTTGCTCAAGGTGTAAAAACCCTTTCCAAAAATATATTCATTAAAGGTATGCAGAGTTTGCAGTAATGGTGGCGGGATGTTGTGAATAGGGATGTAAATGCTTCAAGAAATATAAGAGATATTTATATATTTACGTGTAAAAACGGAGGGAAACGACATTCACAATTTGTTAGGTCATAATTTATACTTGTGGGCAGTTCTATAAAGTGTAATAGGTTAATTTTAACTCAATTGATTTTATTTGATTTTATATTAAGTGTAATTGATAATTTTCAAATTATATTTTGTCATCATTCCCAAAATCAAACGAAGATTTTTTTTTGGACCGCTAAAAGCAATTGTCAATAATTGCTGTCTTTGTTTTTCTTTGTCATTGTTTTTTTATTTTTTTTTTTTATTTTTTTTATTAATGACAATTTTATCCAAGAGTAATTTCGATTGGATAATTATTCTTAAGAATCGGAAGTTCCGATTACAAATTCTACAAAAAAAAAGAATGTGGGAGAAAATATGGATACATATTAAATGTTACAATTTATACAGTAAAAGAAAAAGAATGTGTAAATAAATATTAAATACTTAAAAAATCTCTATACAATAATGTCTACAAAATTTATAATACAATTTATTTTTTACAGAATGAATGAAAAATTTTATAATGATAATAATACGAAGAAGAAAATTTATCAACATTTAAGAGTTTAAAATTGATAGTTGACATTTTCATCTTTTTTCTTTGCGTAAAGTCGAAAACATTTTACATTGGTTTTATAGTTTTCAACTTCTTGAGAAATCAAATTCAACATTTCTTCGAATCTATTCTTGTCCAAACCCATGAATTCATTGATTCGGATATTTTTATGATATGTCTTGAAATAATTAAATGTCTAAAAAATAACAAAAAAGATCAAAATTAGGAAATTATTTCCACGAGTTAATCATATTCTCTCATATTATCATTAATTAAATAACTTACGAAAGCTCCAAGAGTGCCACCAAAAAGTGGCACTTTGATTTCTTCTGTATGAATGTCTGTCGAAAAGTTTTCGCTAGTTTGAAGATAATTTTTAATATTGGAGATGGCTTTAGGTTTTATTCCATTTTTTTTAAGGTAAGCAATTGTTGAATTTATCAACACTCGTGTAACTGGGCCAACGTTTTCAAATTCATATGATCCTTCCATTAACTTTTAAAAAAATTTAAATTTATAATTTATTCATTATATTATAATGAAAATAGTAATAAAGATAGTAAATAATTATCGATAAATACCTCAATCCAAGCTCCTGGCTTTATAACACGAATCATATCTTCTATCAATTCGGGGCATTGAGATTCAGTTAAAAAGGAAAAAATGTTAAGATTTTGATAGATAAAATCAAAAGTGTTGTCAGGAAATGGAATTCCATCATTAATAACATCGCATCGAAGGAATCCGGCGTTATCAGGTTTGTTTTCGTTTTCAAGGATCGGATTAATTAAATCAACTCCAACAAAAGTTGAATTTGGGAATTCTGTAGCCATATCAATCAACCACGTCCCCGAGCCATGTCTATAAAATATTATAGATATTTATAAATATTACAATTCTAAAAATTTAAAAATAAATCAAAATTAAAATTTCACTTACCCAATTTCGAGCACCCTAAATTCACCTTGATTTAACTTATTTTCAATAGGTGAATAGAAATTTTTGTTTTTCCAAATATATTTGGAGATATAATGTTGCGTTTGTAATCGATTTTTTTCAACTAGATCGTTTGAATGATGTGAATTAATTTCTCCTCTCCCCACATTAAGAAACCTATAGTTATCAACGCAAAGTTGATTATGCGAGTAAAGAGTTGAATGATGAATAGTTGGGATTGATGTATGAATCATTTTGTGTGTGTTAGATAGGTTTCTTTGAATGGTTATGTGTGAGAGAGAGAGGAATATTTTTTCAGTTTTGGTTTTAGATTTTTTATTATTCGAAAAAAACTTTTTTCCAGAGCCTTTTAAATACCTTTTTTTGCTATAATATACTGTTCATTATATTATATCATATTATATTGTTACTATATACCCTATCTTCTATTTTTGTGAGACACTTTGTCTTCGACGCATTAATAATTACTAAATTTGGTAAACAGGATGTAAATTTTTTTACAATAACAGGCAATTATAATCAAAAAAATAAATTTTACTTTTGATAATGGACTTCTTTGTTTATTCAAAAATTAATTGAGCAATCAAGAGAAAAAATTTTTTGTGGGGTGATTTAAATAAATTCTATTTTCGTATAATTTTTAACATAAATGAACGGATTTTTTGAAAAATTAACATCATTGTGCATGCACAATAATATATATATTGTAGCTAATTGACAATTGAACTTTTTTTAAAAACAACAAAGAATTATAATCATTCATTTCCTTTGAAATTTGCCAGTATCGGAAATGTTCATTAGTGGGACATAAATAATAACTTGTCGATTTTATTTTGTTTTGTTTGTTTTTACATTTAATTACTATTTAAATTATTATTATAGTGTTTATCAAATTTGTACCAAAACGTTACATGTGTTTTTTGTAGAAGTAACTAACCTCTATTTTAATAAAACAAGCAAAATTTTTTTATAAATTAATGCCATTTTTATATAAATGTTTTAATCCAATTCTCCCAAATAGTTCTTTACAAAATTTTAATAGTATATTATTATCATTTGAAGAAGGTAATAAAAAAATAATTCCGAATAAAGTTGTAAGAATTATTAATGACAATCTAGTATATTGTTATTAATATAATGCATTTTTCAAAGGAAATTAATTAATTTAATTAATTTATTAATTTATTTGAAAAAATTATTAATAATTATTTAATGTAAAAGAAATTGTATTAAGAAATAAAATAATTATGAAATATGCAATTAAATGAACAAATACATACGTTAGGTCACTTGGTAATATTAAATTATTCTGTTTCTAAAAATTTAAAAAAATTTTTTTTAGTAAATAAGAAAAAATAATTAACAATAATAACTATTATTAATCATAGCTGGCTGACCTTTACTTTTTTAATTAAAATTTTTCTTGTATGATTGTTATATTTTTTGTTATTAATTCCTTCAACAACTAATGTTGCACTATCATCATCATCATAACCATCCTCATCACTATCATTATCATTATCATCATCATCATCATCATCATAAACAACATTATCATCACAATCACCTCCCTCAAAATAATTACCATCTTTAGATGATTCTAATTCTAAATTATCTGATTTCTCATAATTATCATTATTATCATCATATTCATCATTTGTCCATTCAGAATCTTTCGTTGGTTCGGATTTTTGCTTATAATGTTTAATATTTCCACCAATAATTCCAATTCCAATTCCAATTCCAAGGTTGCTATTATTAGTATTAGCATTATTTATATTGTTTGCTGATTGGTGGAGTTCTTTTAATAAATTTTCTTTTTCAATTTTTAAGTTATCATTAATTGCTTCAAACTCTTTGATCATCTTTTCCAATTCTAATAATTTAGAATCTTTTTGACCGATTAAATCATTCAATTTGTTATTTTCTTTTTTAATTATTTCTAAACCTTCTAATTCTGCTTTTTTTAATTCAATAATCTTTTCTAACTTATCAAAAACTTTTAAAAGTTCAACAATATCTTCAACTTTGTTATTTGATAAATTTGATAAATTATTATTGTCTATATTTGAATTAACCCATTCACCTATTACGCTTATTCTTTTTATAACTGTGTTGTAGTTTTCTTTCATCAAATTATATTCTTCAGTATGCAAGTTAAATTTATTCAATAGATCATCATATTCTTTTTCTTTATCTAATAATAATTGCTGATAATTATTTTTTTGCCCTTGCTCTTGTGTGAATTCATTATTTTCCACTGGTTCATGTTTCTCTTTTAATTGGCTTGTGAACTTGGAAATTATTTTTTGCTTTTCTTCCTCATGTTCTTCAATACTTTTGGTATAGAGTTTATGTAAATCTTGATACGAATTTTGTAATAATTCATACTGATGTTGTTGATCTTGCTTTTTAAGAACAATTGTCGAAGAATTAAACTTAAACAAAAGCAAAAAAAAAAAAAATAATAATAATAATTAATAATAATTTATTTTAAATAACAAATTCCGAGATTTTTTACCTTATTACTATCATTTATGCTATAATCTTCAAGTATATCGTTAAAATCATTCAACATATTGTTCATTTGAATTAAATTTTGTGAATCTTGCTTTGCTAAATTCAATTCTCTCTTTAAAAAAATATGAATGTTTAATTAATTAAATTTAATTCTTTATTTTCTTCTATCCTGTTTATTCATATAAAATTTGTGATACCTCTATTAAATCATAAATTGATAAATCATCGTTAAAATTTGATGATGCTGGTGCTGGTGCTGATAAGGATAACTTGGAAAATTTGATATTTTTCTAGTTGGAAATTAACAATTAGCAAAAAAAATATTAATTTATATATCAAAATAAAAACCAAGTAACTTATTACCTCGTCACTATGATCCAAGTTATTAAAATAAAGATTAGTATTAACTTAATACTTATCGTGATCAAATATGTGTGTGTTGAATTAATAAGTTATACGTACTTTCTTTCTTTGTTGTAGTAATCACTAGTAATAATAATATTATTATTTATAAAAGAATCGCCGTTATCAATGTAAACAATTGCAGAAACTTTTCTAAATGTTGTTTTTGGATCTTGTTCGTTATTTATATCAATTCCAAATTCCTAATAATATTATTATTTAACAACATACGTCAAACAATCAAACATTAGTTAATCAGGCTTTTTTATACATACAAGTAAATCTCCATTATTCAATTCCACAGCATCAAATTCATCATTTTCCACACCAATTTTTCTCCCATTAAGAAAAGTTCCATTACTTGATTTTAAATCCTTAATTAACACCTTCCCTTCTACTTTCATCTCCATACTATTCTTTCTTCTTTCACCAACATTGTTACTTTTCTCAAACAAAATCTCAGCGTGAGATCTGGATAACACCTTACTATCAAAAAATCCATTAGATTCTGAGGGTGTTGTGGATTTGTTTATCGACCTACCGATTTTAATTGGTTCATTGTCATAAAGAACTAAATTTTTACGTTTAAAAGTGTCATTAAGTGGCTCCAAAGTTAAATTGATTGAAGTTGGTTGACTAGTAGGTCTGAACGATGATGACAAGTGGACCGCATTGGAAGCAGTCGAGTTTGTTGTTGTTGAGGGTATATAATTAAATGAGTTTAAAAGTCTTGATCTGCTTGATGAGGAGCCATTTGATATAGACGACGATCGTCTGATCAGTGAAGTTTTTAATGACATTGATTGAAAATTAGATTGCTTTTAAATAAAAATGAAAATTATAAGATAAGCACTGATTTAAAATTAATTGTTTCAGAATTGTCTTTTTAAAAGAATTATGAAAGAATTAAAGAATTATGCAAAAAGGAAATTAAGGCAATGTTTTTTTGTTTTTCGTTTATTAATTTGTGTCACCTCAGGATTTTATAGAAAGTTTATTTTCCAGTACATAATAATAATAATATTAATATACAGTATATTTAATATACAGTGCGGATCGTCACCAAAATTTTATTTTTACAAATCTTGAAACTTTAAGATGATCGACATATTGCCGATTATGAGAATGAAGCTATTTTTAGTTATTTTTATTTTTTATATATACATAGACTAGGCAACTCCGTTAATCCGAAAACCTCGTTAAAATGAGTAATTTTTAAAAACACCAAAGCAAACATATGTAAATCACCCTTTTTAATATGAATGTCACCAATAAAACTTTATAAACCGTAAACCGAAGAAATTTTTAAATTTTTTGAAGCCATTTATATGTAAAATTGCCCCGTTAATCCGAATTTTATAAACCGAAATGAAATAAAAATTGGGCCAATAATAATAATATACAAGTTATACAAATACAAATGTACAAAAATTACCATGGAAATAGCAAATAATAACCAGAGTAGACTTTCCTCTATATAGTGAAAACAAGAGGAAAAAAAAAATCTACTGAAAAAAGAAGTTGAGGTATCAAAAGAAAACATACGCCTATAACAATCTCACCAAAAAATAGAAACATGCATTGAAAAAAATAAAGGCCAAACATAAAAAATAACCAGCTTGCATCTAAATATAATGTCTGTTTCTGAAATTCTAAAAAAGAGTGATTATTTTTTATCATTGAATTCAAATCAATTCACTGCAAATTCATATCATGAGAGATCAACAAAATATCCAGAAAATGGATAAAGGAAATTTCTAAATCCTAAATTTTAAATTTATTAATAATAACTTCAGATTATAAAAAAACCCTGTTAATCTGAAGAAAAGTTCCTGCACAATTGCCTTTGGTTTAACGGGGTTGCCTATGTATATCTCATTTCTTATTTTTACCCACTCTGTGTAATAATAGGTCTGTTCATAAAAAGAAAATGGAGCATATTTAAAAGTTATTAACAAAGAAATACCTCTTGGAAATATCTTTAAAAACCCAGGACAACCAGAAGAACATAAGGTAGGAGGGTTACAATCACAATTGGTATTCATAAATGCTGAAAAAGCAAGTGCTGGCAAAACAAAAAATTAATGTCTTTATATATACATTTTAACAAAATATTGCATCTTTTTTTGAGCACTAGTTTTATAATTTACCAGTTAGTTAATGATATTGTCTCATGAGAGTTAATATCAAATAAAAACTTATGGGGTAATCCATGTTAATATTAATTATCTGAAAAAATTCTTGATCATATGTGAAGTATTGATGTCCATACAATACAAACATGTTCTATTTTCCGATATGCAAACATTATATGAAAAAAATAATATAATTATAGTTGAACTGTCTTAAAACATACTAATGATCAGAAAATAGTAATTTTTTTATAAGTTTTCTTTCCACCAATAAAACCCTTGTGAATCTTCGTCATCAGAGTACATTACACATGTATTATTTGTCTCTTCATTGTCAGAGAAATCAGAGTTAAAATTTGAAAGAATTAGGTATATGATTCAAAGGGAAAGGGGTTGTAATCGATTCCATTTCAACTTTCGAATCAGATAGTCCAGTCATGTGTGCATGGACATTGTTCACACCAATCACTTTGACAAAAAAATAAATTTCATAAATACACATGTAAACATGATCATATATATAAATCAGCCACTAGGGCTTAACTTTCTATTTGATCTGTGATCATGTGTACTGCATACATCAGGAAACTTTTCCCGCCGTAATATTACATCCGTAAGTTTTAATATGAAATGTCGTAATATTTCGCATAAAAAGGATGTAATATTTACACTGAATGTAATAATTGCGTAATTTTTGTGCAATTTTTGCATAATATTACACTATTTACGTAAGTTTATGGCAGGCCCCATAATATTATGTAAATTTACGTCAGAAAAAATTTCCTGATGTAATAGAAACATATTAACTATTAATATATTGTGGAAAGTAATAAAGTATATATGGAGCATACTGCAACAAAACCAGACAAAGTGAACATTGGTATTACCAAGAATTTCAGGGATCAATATTATTTATTTAATATCACAATTAACATTACCAATGCAATGTGATCAATACATTGAATGAACTCGACCCTAATAGAATAAATTAAGAATAAAATATATACAATGCTTATTCTTGATGCCAACATACCCTTAGGCCTGCGCAATATAATATTTCCAATCAATTATCATCGATTTGGAAGACCATACTAAAACATGACAGGATCCTATAGTCAAAATAAGATATCTTCTCAATTGACTTGGATCTTTTTTGGTACCAACACGAGAATCCACAATCCCTGAATCACTATAATTTCTAACTTTGCCTTTTGCCATTGTTTTGATATATATATCAAGTTGTTGTTGCCCATGATTCACAATATCATTTACTTTATTTAACACATAACATTTCTTTTCTACTGACCAATACATATAATTATACTTCAAAATCTCTTTGACACTTTTTTCTTCAATTTCTTTATCTAACTGTTCCATCATCTTAGGATTGGGAGTTTTTATCCACTGCTGATTTGCACCACTCAATAAGCCTATAAGTGTTATATATTTCAATTCTAAGATTACATTTGATATTTGCTGACTTTCTCTTTTTATACCCTCAGGAATGAATATATCTATAAAACCAAAACACCCTTCACCTTTTTTCTTCATTCCATCAATCACAATACAAACTTCTGGAACACAAAATGGAATTGGTAAAAGAATTTCAATAACAACCTGAAGTACTGCTTCATTTGTTGATCTCAGGGACATCATTGATCTAGTCTTGAAAAAATTCTTAACAAGATCAACTAAATGATCAATGTTACCCTGTATAAGGCAGGGTTGGCAAATTGACTGGTCCATTGAGAACAGATGGATTTTGGATGGTCCATTGCAATTAATAAAATACTAAATATGGTCAAAGTGTTACATTAATGGACTGCCAATAGACCATCAATGGACTGCACATTTGCCAACCCTGGTATAAGGCTAGTATAAGCCTGGAATCTTTGACAGCCAATGTCTTTTTTTGCACTTATACAATCTGAAACTTGTGTTATAATCTAATGGCAGCAATATGAATTAGAATCTTTATAATAATATTTCAAAACTGATGGGTACATACATACCTCAATTCTTGTTACTTTGTTCGGGATTAACAACTCCCCTGACTGACCATGAGTTAATATACCGAAATAATATAAAAGTGACCAAACAAGATGCTGCTGCTGAAATGTTATATTTTCTTCTCCAGTATTGAAAAAGTCAGAATAATTAAAGTTGTTTTGGAGTGAGATTTGCACTGATCCATGAATAAGGAGATCAAAAAGATTGTTGATAGATACAGGACTTTGTTCAGCAATACATGTAAGAATTCGAGTAGAGTCCACAGCTGTGGGTTCTGAGGGTGTACTGACAAATCCAATACTTTTTCTTTCTAAAGATAATGAAAAATTATCTGTGAATTGTATAAGGTGGAATAATTAGATCTGTGTTGGTAAAATTATATCCCTTGTACAGTCAACTTATTTGGTCCACAGCATCATTTGCTAACTGCTCATTATTATCAAAATAATACAAATCAATAGCTTTAACTTCATTTTCAGTGAATCCACATATTCCATGAAACTCAGGTCAGTTGGATATATCATCTAAAATAAGAAGTGGGCTAAGACCTGCACTAAAGGCAGGAGTAATTCCCGTCACATATAATTTGTCAATAGCATGACTACACCCTGTTTTGAGTGGTGCAAAGAAGTTGGTGTTAAAAAATTGTTCAATTCTGCCGACTTCTCTGCATTCTATATCATTTAAAAACCAGACTTCCATTCTAAAAGCACTATTGTTACCTGGAGTATCATACTCGTCTATTCCAACAAAGAGGGTACAATTCTGGCTATGTACCAAATTCAAAACATTGATAAGGGATGTGCTTCCTTTCCTTGCAATTATATTATCAATATTTGGATCACCCAATTCTACTTCATATTTCTTGATAAACTCACACAAGTTCCCATTTAATTGATCATTAAAAGCTACTTGCATCTCCTCATATGAATCTGTATCAATTGTTGAAAGATCAAATCTAAGTACAAGATGTGTGTTATGGGAAGGCGTTGGGTATTTTCCAATATATAATGGACCAAAAAGTTGATCAAAATCATTTACACCGTGAACATCATAATACAAACAAAGCATGTCAAGGAAAGTAGATTTGCCAAAACAACGTGGCCTAAGGACTAGAATTCGAAACTCTGGATTGAGATTCTCTAGCTTCTCAATATATTCTGTCTTATCAACAAATACCATCCCTGCTCTATGTCGAAAGGCCAACAAGCTAGGTTTTCCATATGGTACTATTGGCTGTAAATGTGTATATAAGGAAACAAGAAATTAGTGACAAATTCACTATCATGCTGACACATAAGTTGTTCGTGTCTGCTCTTGATTCAAAGAATACCTTTTTCTTTGTCTCATCCATTGCCATGGCTTTGAAGATCGTATTCACATCTAAAGACTCAATATTTAGAATTTGATTTTTATTACTAGTTGTAGTTTTAAATTTCTTTGGCCTATATCAGAAAGTATTTTTTTTCTTTTTTTTAATCTTTTTAATTTTTGGGTAAATTTACATAAATACATAAAACTAGAGTGACAACAAGTGGCGATAACCACCACCATTCTTATAATAAACACTTACTCATTCGCCTCTCCTTTATTTTTTTCATGTGTTCTTCTTTTGTTGTTTTGGCTAAACATTTTTTAGAAAAAAAATAAGAAATTATTTGATTGACAAAAATGCGTATTAATTATTTATGTTGTTGACACGAATTGATTTTTTTTTTTTTAAAACATTCTATTTTTTGACAAACAAAATACGAGTCTCCTAAAGAAGAAGTGTTAGTAACAGAGGTACTATTTTTTATTTGTAATGATATAATGTGGTGTCTTTTAGTTTATAAAATATATCAAAACGCGGAGTAGAACTTGGTAATTATAAGATCCTTATCAAGATGGTAAATGATTGGTATTTTAATTTATGTAGTTGTTATTAATATTGTTATTATAATTTAATTACAAGGCGTCAAGGCAGCATGACTGTCACAGAAGAAACATTCGATATGCGATGTTTAATTATTGGAAATTGGCAGGCGTTGAAGCACGCACACTACCTTGAACACTTTTACAATCATTCTCATTTTCCTCATGTACACAAGGCTAATCTGACTTGCGACCCCTTGATGATACAACGATGCTGTTAAATTCTAGGGGAGGGGCGCAATGCCCTGGAATGCATCAAGACTGCATAAATCATCAATGACACTTTCACTAATCTTCCCAGACCAGAGAAAACTGTTGGCATGTTATATATAAAATTTATAAATTCATAAAACTGGAATCTATTATTTCTATAAGATTCTTAGAACAACAAGAATTTGCTACAAAAAAGATGTTATGTATGTCAATGAATTATAAAACATTTAGATAGTTCTGTTAATAAAGCAAAACATCAATCCTTGTTGACATTGATATTAATATTGAATAAAATTTTATTTAAAAAGTCATGTGAAATGATCAACTGCTTGAGATATACAGTACACTCTCTCTATAACGACCCTGCCTATAACGACCCTCTCCCTATAACGACCGGGATTTAAAGCCCGATTTTTTACTATTTAAAAATCTCTGTCTATAATGAATTTATTAATTAAATTTTCTATACTGTATAACGAACTGTCTCGGAAAATCACACTATATGTCCTATATCTGTCTATAACGAACTGATCATCATATATCACATGACATTGATTATTTTCTATTTATTTTTTTCTTAATTTAGTATAATTTTTACATTTTTGAATAATAAATTTCGATTTGGTAATTTTACATTTTAATATTGATATTAATTTTATATTTAATAATAAATTCCGATTTAGTAATTTTATATTTAATAATAAATTCCGATTTAGTAATTTTACATTTTAATATTGATATTAATTTTATATTTAATAATTTTGCGGTTTAATATCAATATTCAGTATTTAGTAATTTATGTTTTAATATTAATATTTAAAATCTAGTAATTTTATGTTTTAAAATTAATATTTAAAATTTAGTAATTTTACGTTTTAATAATGAATTTGATTTAGGAATATTAATATATTAACATTAATATTTAATATTTAGTAATTGCGCGTTTTTTTATGAAAAAATTGCATGTTTAAAAATCTTATATAAAGTTTAACCTTTTACTTTGAGTTGCTTTTTTAAATTCAAAACTTTAAAATTTCACAATTTGTCTAATCACATAAACAAATTCTAACAAATCAATTAAAAATAAATTAATCTCAATAATGTCTTCTTTAAATAAAAGAACATCATTAACTGCTTTACAGAAAAAAGAACTATGTTTAGCAAAACAAACAGCCCCATACCCTACAAATGTAGATTTGTCAAATACTTTTAACATAGGTAAAAGTACTGTTAGTGAAATTTTAAAAGATAAAAAAAAATGGCTTGAAATTGATGATGATTCTCATGAAGCTAACAAAAGGAAAAGAAGAAACATGATGTATAATGATATTGATCAAGCATTGGCTATTTGGGTTGAGCAATCACTTAATGCAAATATAGATCTTAGTGGCGAAATATTAAAAGAAAAGGGAAAGGTTTTTGCTGAGCTCCTTGATAAAAATGATTTTAAAGCATCAGATGGCTGGTTAACTGGTTTTAAAGAAAGGCATAACATTAAAGAATATGTAAAACATGGTGAAGCTGGTAGTGCGCCCATTTCGGAATTACCATCATATAGAGAACAAATAAAAAATATTACAAGTCAATACCAATTATCTGATATTTTCAATGCAGACGAAACAGGCTTATTTTGGCAATTGGAGCCTTCTAGAGTGTTGTCCACAGGGCCAGTAACTGGAAGAAAAAAATCAAAAGAAAGGATTACTGTAATGCTAACTTGTAATGCTGATGGAACGGAAAAATTAAAACCCCTTTTGATCCACAAATATCAAAATCCAAAAGCAATTAGAAACATTGATAAAAATACCTTGAAAGTGAAATATTATTGGAATATTAAAGCATGGATG